TTATTAGCCCAGTAACCTTGTCATGGAGGAAAGGGGGATCTAAGTTGCATCGAATGGGTGCAGAAGGTTTCTTTTTTTTCTTGTATGGAATGAAACTGACAGGCACAATCGAAATGAAAATCCCCATACTGCTATATTTTCCCACTGTTTTCGGTTTTTCCCCGTATTGACTACGTTTTCTACAAAATATAAATATTACATTTTTAAACTAGATTAAATATGCTAAAATTTAAGACCAAAACAGGTTCGGTAAGTTTGATAATTTTTGAAATACAGGTTTTCAAAGTTTTAGAAATTTCTGGAACTTGAAAATTTTCAGTTTTTTTGTATGCAACTGTCTTTATATCTTCAATATCCTATCATATATGATTCAGTGAAGTAAATTTTTATTAATTTTAAATTTTTGAAGGAGGGATGAAGGAGGGGAGGAGGTTTGGTGGAAGAGGGGTAGATCACTTTTCACAACCAGAAGACTAAAATTGAAATAAAATAAAATATAAAGTGCATACAAAAATTGTAAATGAAGCGAACGCAATTTTCAAAACTTGAACATTTTTAGCTGATTTTCATGTTTATGTCTTCAATAACAAGCCATTAAGAGTTAGTGAAGTAAACATTTATTTAATTTATTATTTTGAATAAGCCACGATAGGAATTCGGCAAGGTTGTAGCTTGAGTCCACTACTGTTCAGGATAGTTATGGTTGGAGCTATTAGGAGGATCAAGGAGTATATAAGGAAATTCCACCTAGGATATGCCAATCTAAGACCAGTGAAATTCTCACTTCTTGCATTTGTCAATGACATTGTTATTTTCGCCAGACGACAGGAATCGACGACAGGAATTGACGACAGGAATCTCCAACACATCAACAGGTTAAAAGAAGAACTGCTTAAGATTAACATGGTCATAAACCCTACAAAGACAAACGTAATGAGGATAGGGAAGAAGTCATTAAGTTGAAGAAACGGTCCTCGAACATGTGGGAAATTTCAAATACCTAGGCGCGCACCTGAATGAAAACGGGTGTATTGATAATGATCACTAGCGGATCCAGCATTTAATTTTGGAAGGAGCTTTAGCCCGAAAGCTTTTGTTTTTGTATACATAACGATAATTTATTTGAAAAAAAAAAGAAAGAAACTACCTACCTATATGACATGGTGTTTAAGTGATTTTTTTTTTGGGGCGGGGGAGACTTCAGCCCTAAAGCCCCAGCTCCTCGCAGATCCGCCTGTGATACGGAATGGCAAGTGTTGGCAGAATGTTTGAAGCGGTCAAGAGAGGCTTCTGGAACAGATGAGAGGTGGGCAGGAAGACGAAAGTTGCCGTGTTTAGATCCACGTTTCTCCCCATTCTGACGCATTCCTCGAAATAATGGATACTAACAAAAAAGCATAAATCATGAATGCAAGCGTCAGAAATGAGATTTATCAGAAAAATTTAGGGGAAACAAGAAGAGACCGAATCCGCAACACTACAATTAGGGCGAACCTCAATGAAAAACCAGCCCTTGACTTTATAGAAGAGAACAGACATGCTAAGATAGTTGGGACATCTCCTGAGAATGGAACCTACCAGAATTGCAAGGGAAGTCTATCAAGCCAAGGCTGAAGGGAAGAAAGGAAAAGGTCGCCCAAGAAATAAATGGGAAGACGAAGCAAAGAAGGATTTCCTGAAAAGAGGACTCCAATGGAATGAGAGAAGGCGTTTTGGTGGAATACCGGCAAAGCTAGAGAAACCTCTATAGACTTCCTCCTCACACTGCATAGGCGGTACTAGAGGAGTGAATATGATGATGATGAAGGAGTAGGATACATGGATTTATGAATGGCTATAAATAATAAGACATAGAAACCCTATGTCGATTCATGTAAATCTAATATTATAAGCTTATTGATAAAATAGGTGAGCTAGAATGAATGACCTGAGCCATTTATAGCATTCTTTCTTCTTCCTAGTAAACCAGCGGGCAGAAAAAAAAGGCTTAACGCATATTTCGAAACTCTCCTCTCCTCAGAAATAGAATTTCGGAGAGCAGTGTTATAGATATGGGAACAAATCATAGCAAAGATATAAATATATAAAAAACCGAAGAAGAAAAACAGCTAGAAAAAAAGAAATTATTAGATCACTGTGGAGAAGATCCAAAATCTTTGAAAATATAATAAGGAACTGATGGAAACATTATATGGTGGAAGAAATATGTAATAGAAAGATGAAAAGAGTAGTACTATAACTATGCCATTTATAAGAACCGAATGAGGTGACAGAAGACTAAAGGTGCCTACGCCATTGCCGCTTTTCCGCTAATTAAGTGTATTTTCTAAAGAACCGTTCCAAATATGTTAAAAATTAATCAGTGATTTAGAAAGATAAATGTATTCTCTTGATGTTTTTTTCCCTTTTTCTTTTACCCGCCAGCAAGGACCACGCGAATATCATTTCCGTTTCCTCTTCACTCCCTCAGCCTTCCTCTCACTCCAATACTCTCTCATCCTCCTGGACTGTTCCTCTCGCTCTTCCTTAGTCCATTTTCTCCCTCGTCTCTCCCTCCCATCTACAAGAACCCCAACCCCTTTCAGTTTTTCCCTAAAAAGCTTTCTATCTTAGCAATCTTTATCCGTGATTTTTAGCCTGTCTAGTTTCTCTGTTATTTGGTTTACATATCTCCCCATACTTTCATAGCTGCAAACTTTGTCAAAAATTTTCTTGTTCAGTCTTTCACTATTCATCCTGACCATGTGCCCGTAGAACCTCAGTTTTCTGGTCCTGACGACTGTTTCCAAATCTTCCAAATTTTCGTATATTTCTTTATTGGATTTTAGCCTGTATCCCTCCTGCGTTACCTTGGTTCCGTGAATCCTCCTCAGAATCTTCCTCTCGATCTTCAGGATTTTCTCTAGGCTCGGAAGGCTGACTGTTTCCATACCATATAATATTACAGGTCTTGCTACTGTACAGTAATGCCTTATTTTTGCATTTGAAGACATTTTTTTTTTTTGGTGAAACTCTAGATGTTTTATTAATATAAGAAAATAAAAAGAAATATTCTACTCCCATTCAATACATTTTACGATGTACAAGGTTACTGGGCTCTATAACCCATCGTCACTCAATCTGAATTCGAGGTTTGCGGACTCGTTAGAAAGAATAGAGGAGTTTTTTCCTACCCATACACGTAATCATTGCGTTTTCTCAGAAGGTTCCGTGTAGGAAAACGTTCTAAAATACTTGAAAACAACTCGGTTTAAGAGAATTTTGCAGATTAAATACCTTCATCAGCACTCCTAATTTATTTCGAGTCAGCCGAATGATTCCTGAATTATTGTTGATTTTTTAAACCCTAAGGTTCTTTCTCTAAAGAGAGAATCACTTTATTATCATAAAAGGTGCTGACCAATTACATTGGGTTGCTAAAAACAGCATACTTATTAATCACTAGAGAAATTTTTTAAAAACTAATATACAATTATATAGGATCAACAATATGTATGAGCATAGTAAACAAATTTTTTTTATATATATGTATTATTATTATTTGTTTATATACGTTTTTTTTTTTTTTTTTTTTTTTTCTATTGAGAGAAAGAAAAAATACATTTTGCCTCAATTAAGGGCATTGAGTATTTATGACGAATGAAGTACAATCATACCATATATACAATAAAAGAACAACAAGATTATAAGAAAATAAAATAAAATAAAACTTGGAGTAACAGAATAAATCAAACTGATATAACATAAAATAAAAACTTAAAAAAAAAAATAAAAAAACATAATAAATAAAAATACATTCAAACTTATTTACAATATTTACAGTCAGCCGAAGGAGCTTCGAGTCGGGCCTTTTTCCCGACGTGTGGAGGACAAGGCAAGACTCCAAGAGATCCCAGCGCTTCTCTCTCAGCCGCATCACTAGGATGGCAATCCAGTGGAGACTGAGAGAGGGCACTAAAGCCACATATAATTTTTTTTAAATTTATTTATTTTATTTTTCTTTAATTTATTTTTTTATTATTTTTTTTTTACTATTTCTTTCATTCATTTATTATCATTCTAAATCCCTTTCTCTTCCTTCTCTCCCCTTATACATTTTTCCTACTCCTCATATTCTCTCCTCTCTCCCCCTAATCTAATTCATAAAATACATAAAGTACAGTGGACGTGTTCAATAAATAATAATGATTTCATTACATATAACTAATTCAATGGCACCTCCAGAGCGCTTTAGAAAACAAACTTTAATGAATAATGGATTTCCGTCTAGTCTATTGACAAATCAATATAAAATTACCTAATTATAAGAAATTTCAATAACGTCTTAAAATTATTCGGATAATCTCAGCATAGCAAAAGACACTAATTGTTCGGTTGTGTATAAATAAATATTCCCAAGTTAAATACAGTTTAAGATATCCAGAATGTTGGAATCACACCATTATAGGAATCTTAAACTAGATCTTAAGATAGCATATCTTTATAAAATGCATAACTATGCATCTTAAAAAGTTATTGGTGCTATATCACACTAACTGGAGAGATATGCAATGTCGCGAATATGGGAAACGATAACTGATAAGGGTATCGTTTCTTCCTTTTTTTTTTTTTAGCATTGATAAACTTCACCAGTAAACAATGCCATTATTAAAGCCATACATTAATCTTAATGAATACCCATTCTTGAATTAGATAAGAAAGCCAAGGGTATAAACTGTTATCGCCGGAGCTCTTCAGAAAATTGTTTTAGAAACTTTTTCCAAATCGTATCAGACTTTTTATAAAACATTATGAATGATCGAGTCAAGACTCTTGCCTTAAAACAAGATATTAACTATTGCTCGATACACAGCATACTCATCAATCCTTTTTTTTTTTTTTTTTGGACGTACAAATTATATACATATTCTTTTTCATATTATACAGCACAAACAATATCAATACTATAATATATTGGTATTTTAGATAATAAAATACAAATATTATCATTGTATAAATACCTGATGTAGGTGAAGATGTGACATTATACACCATTCCTGTAACAAAAATATTTTATAATTATATAATGTATTAATTATATTATTGAATTGTTAATGTAAAATATATGTTTACAGACAAATATTTTCAGGGCTCATACCCATCCTGTTTTTGTTTTTTTAAGCCTTTGGCATTGGTAAAAGAAATAAAATCTGGCCTCATAATAGAAACCTTCGTCATCCGTTACAGATATTTCATAATATCGATTCTTATATTATTAATTTTAATTAAAATACCCCATTTTTTAATTTCTGAAGGATTCTCTAATTTTTTGGTAAACATAAAAAGTAAACAAGATTTCTTTTTTTTTAAAATAAATTATTAACTAAAGGATAGTCAATTTGAAGAATACTCATTGAGTAAACCAAAAATTGTTTTCGATTTACCTCAATTTTGATCGAGTAATATTCAATTTAACGATCATATCATATTGAACCAGAAGTATGCAATGTGGGAGAGGGGGGGGGGAGGGGGGAAGGTACCGCCGATATGGCCGATGAAGTTGGCATTTCACTGAGTTTGGTCTCCCGGGCTTTAGCCAGATTCAGATAAACCGGAATTGCCAATGGGAGATCTGTTAGTGGATCTCAGCACACTACGGCACCGAGGGATGACAAAAATACTGTTATTAATGCAAGAAGCAACCCTTTTCATAGTGCCCGACAAAGCCTAAATGAAATGTCGAGGGTTCTGCTAAGGCCCATAACATAACAAACCATTTGCAGTCGTTTGTGGGAAGTTGGTCTAATATCGTATGCTCCTTTAAGACGATCTGCACCAACAGAGCCTCATTGGTAACTCCGCAGATTATGGTGCAGTGAACAAATTGGTGAGAATACAAATCGGAATGCTGTTGTTTACAGACGAGTCGCGTTTCTGAATTATAGCGATCGCAGACGCCGAAGAGTCCGTTTAATATTGTCTGGTGGTGGGAGTGTGGTGGTAAGGACCGGCATCTACTCAAGAGGAAGGGTTCCACACCATATTGTGGACGGAAATCTCACTGCAGTTACTTATGTTCAAAACATTATATAGGAGTACATCCCTTAAACCAGGGCCATTATTGATTCCGATTTCCATTTTGTTGACGGCAATAAGCGACTTAATAGGGGAGAAGTTATTCATCAATGTCTTGAAAACATAGTCATTTCATATTTGCCCCTTCCAGCATTGTCTCCATAACTCAATACCATTGAGCATATAAAGGCTTTTTGAAATCTGCAGCTTCTTACTCTTCCGAAACTAAAAGCAGTATTACCATGTTTATGTTATGAAGTTCCTTGTGCAATCATTGACAAAATTGTAAACAGTACACCCAATAGGTGTAGAGAGGTAGTGTGTAACAGGGAATATCACACAAATTATAAAAACTTTACAAAATGCTTACAATTCGCAATCATAAAAAAGAGACTTATACATTTTTCCGAGGACAAATACAATCTTACTTGTATTAATTTTCAATGTATTTTATAATAAAAATTCTAGGGAAAATAAATCATATATAAACAATATCCCTATTTATTTTTGCGAAGTATACATACAACATATATATTGTTTAAACATATTTTAGGAAGACATAGTACATTGTAATGCTCAGTACTAACCTAGATCAAACAAAAAATCTGTACATCACTTTTATCAAAAATACTTTATGTATTTACACATCTCTTTTACAAAATTTCACAATACAATAGCTCAGACTACATTATTCAGGATAAACGAGACTTATCGAGACTTACGGTTGAAAAATAACTGGATAAAAACTAGCTTAGCAGTCAGCAGTCAGCTGTCAGCATTGATATTAACCTAGTGACATTCACAAGTTTCATTTTGTCAGTGCTTGATCAAACATTGAGTAAAGGGAACCGGCTGATTTTAACTATATATAAAATAAAATAACAATTATAATTTAACAGACAGCGAATTAGGATTCTATTTCTAGAAGGCTGAAACGACAAGAAATCGATCGACGTTTCCGATTACTTCACCACTTACTAGACAAACGCTCTAAACTTTCAATTAATTACAAAAGACTCATATACATTACTATTATAAGGCCTATTTGAACTTACGGAGTTGAGCTATAGGGCTCCACTAAACCATCTAATTCCTCTCGTATCTAATCCTTAAAATCCAAAATCCTTCGTAAAATCCTCAATGCTCCCTACTTTGTTACAAATAAACCCATCCATAATGACCTTAATGTTGCTTATGTTTCAGATCTGGCCCAATCCAGATACCTATCCTTCCATAATAAACTTCAGAATTACCCCAACCCTCTCGTTTCTAACCTTGCTTCCTCTTCAATTCCTGATAACCCTCCGAGGCGTCTGAAAAGAAGATCTCCTAATGTAGACATATCATTAGAACGCTACCATTGGGTAGTTACTCAGCAAGTGTTGTCCATATGCTCAAATTTACTAGATGTATTTCTTTAGTACAGTTGTAAATATCACTAAGAAATAATAAAAAAAAAATTCTAGAAGACACACCAAAAGATCAAATCATTTGTAATTATTATATCTGTTATCTAAACATGTTTTATAATATCAATCGATTATTATATTTTTAAAAAAATGTCGGTTAAAGTACAATAAGGTAGAAATAAAGAATTTATAAACGCAGAACATTCAACAGACTGTTCTTTTAAAAAAATATGAATATCACTAACTAAATTTGAAACCTAACACGTAATGTAAAAAATAAATTATAAAAGTTGGCCCACGTGTCCCGAAAATTTCTTAACCCTCGCTCACACAACTACATTTTAAACCTTCTTTAGGACAATCATTAAAAGTCCATGTAGTAATCTTATATTGAAGTGGTATTGCATGGAACAGTAATTAGGTAAATAATGATAACAAAAAGAAAAAAAAAAAAGAAGGTTTATTTGAGCAGAACTCATTCCGGAAGGCAATCAATGGAGTAATTTCAAATCTAGCACTGGCGTGAACCTAGTTCTGGAAAAGTCATTTCTTTCCCGACCTGAAAGATGTTTAGCAATCCCCGTTTGGGAGTAATCAGCTTCGCGTCCTGAAAATAGGATTTCTCTTTCTTGTATGAGGTTCTGGAGGTGTCAATCCAAATTTTTTTTTTTTACAAGCAATAACATACAAGTTGATCTTGTAGTAGTCTTAAACAGGAAAATGTTGATTTTAGATCTTTTAAAGTTTATTAAAAAATACTTTATATTTGCCAACGTTTCAACCAAAACATGTGGGTCATCTTCAGGGCTGAAAATGTTTTTTAAAATTACAATCAGAGATATAATAGTATACGACCGCTAATTATAAATAATAATCTATAGTGATTGATGGTACATGAATCTTAACTAATATTGCTATTCATATTTTAAAATTAATATGTAAATAGTTATACAAACTAAAATAAAAAAAATAAAGTATATAATCCATTTATACAAATTTGTAATCGATTCACAAACAAAGATTCACGTACCATCAACCACTATAGTTTATTATTTATAATTAGCGGTCGTATACTATTATATCTCTGATTGTAATTTTAAAAAACATTTTCAGCCCTGAAGATGACCCACATGTTTGGGTTGAAACGTTGGCAAAAATATTTTTTTTAAAAAAGACTGCGTCCTAAATATTTATCACCCATGATATGTAGAACAGTCGACTAACTTCCTTCAATAATTTATTAAAAAATAATATTTTTGGAAAACGAGTATACATTATTATATTTAGAACAATATATAAGCATACTATGGTTTATATATATTATGAACATAAACACATAAACATTTTACAGATAAATATGTTTATATAAATAAATATGCATAATACACAACTGAGGTGAGCCACAGGCGGATCTACGAGGAAAGGGCTTTCGGGCTGAATCTCTCCCAAAATGGTACAGTATTACCATGTCTTAAGAAAAAAAATGATCTGTGGAAGTATTATTATTCGTGTATTTAAATTTAATAGGACTTCAAGAATCACTTTAAAAAACATTTCGTATAGGTAGTTAGTTTCTTTATTTTTCTTTCAACGTAATTATCGTTATATTAAAAAAAAACAGCTTTTGGGCTGAAGCAAACCCCAAAAAAAATCCTGGATCCGCTACTGGGGTGAGCTTAACAGTTAGATCAATGCCTTTGAAACCATCAATATTGCGTCGAAACCGTTATTTTAGATCGAATATTGTTTTCTGCCATTTAAATGAGTTTTTTACGAAAGCCAACATTGACTGAACTTATAACTCGGTAATTCATAGTTTATAAACAAGTTTTCTGTAGCTTAAATATGAGATTTATGTGTTTTCTACTATAGGATGTGCTGGACAAGTAAGGATGTTTTTTTTCTTCATTATTGGCACATAGCCCCAATTTCTAACCATATATTCGAAATTAGCAAAAGTAATCATTGCATAACTCGGAAGTCAGATATTAAAAACTATTCCATCTGAACCGTATTAAAAATTTGATCTTTACTCCTTTATTTCGGACGTTTTCAAGCCAGTTCCCCGTCCAGTTTGATTAAAAATGGCTGAATAATCAGCCATTTTTTCTGAAAACTGTGTCATAGAAAGCGTTGTTTCCATGCGGTGAAATTACCATTCTCGACAACCCGCTTGAAGCCTAGCCTCGTTCTTTGCAATTCCATCTCGTAAGCAGTTGGCACTCGTTGGATCCATCTTCCTCATCTTTGCTGGTTAATTTCTAGCAATGTGCCCTCCAATCGCACACCACTTACAGATCATACCTTCTGCCACACATGCTACCTTCGTGTTTATACCTGGCATTTTAGGCAACGCGGAGCATCATGATTTTCAGTAATAATTAAAAATGACTATTCTCCCGCCGTTACTTTCACATTTAGCAGGTTAAACCTAACATGGTGGTACTTCATTCACCCAATTTTTTGTAATTTTATTTCTGGCCATAAAGCAGAACAATGGCTTCATAAGACCTGTTTGGTTCACTAGAGGAGGTATTATTTTTTTCAGAGGCCTTGTTAATGCTGCAACAGTT